AAATTGTTGTGTTTTGATTTTCAGAATATACAGAAAAACTGAAGTCATCCATTAAACAGCAAACCGATTTTCTGTTGTCAGAGGAAAAGGACAAGAAAATTAGAACCGATGACATCTTTACGAATGTGACTATCCAACGCGGTCCAAAACACTTCAAGGAACCCAAAGAAAGGAGATTTGGCAGGAGGCAATTGGATGAATATCAAGCGAGTAGTACAAAACTCACGAACTGTTCAGAAATGTTTGTTTGCCCAGAAAATGATGATCAGAAATCTGCAGTTTCTTGCACGACCAATCCTAAATCTATCTTGTTGACGGGCAAAGCAGGAATTGGAAAATCCCTTTTTTGTCGGAAGCTGGTACGGGATTGGTCGCATAACCGATTGTTTGAGGAAGGTCAAGAAAATGCCAAAGTACCTGATTTCCAGTTTGCGCTCTTGTTAACATTCCGTCAACTTGTTCTTCCAGAAAAAAAAATGCTTGACTTACGTGATATCTTAAGTCAGTCCTCCCTACTGAATGAGCACTCGGTGATAGACGAGCCAATACTGCAGTACATGATTGAAAATCCTGAGAAGCTGCTCATCATACTCGACGGGTATGATGAGTATAAACAACGAAAGAAAATCACCGGGGACTTTGAGACAAGATATTCAAACGACCCACATCAAAAAATACCTGTTCCTGCTCTGATTGCCAAAATCATGAAAGGAGAGATGTTAAACGGTGCAGTGGTCCTGATATCCTCGAGGCCTGAAGAAGCCGAGGAATTAAAAAAAATTGTCTTTGATGTGAGATGTGACATTCAAGGACTTTCTTCACTTCAAGTGCTAGAATACATCGAAAAGTATTTTAAAGAGAACGAAAGCATGAAGAACAAAGTACTCGATCACATCAAAACGAATGAAATTCTTTTAAGTTTTGGTCACATTCCTGTGATGTGTTTTCTAATGTGCTACTCTATTAAGTGGTACATGACTGAATCAAATACTACAGAAAAACTACCCGGCACAAGAACAGAACTTTATCATGAAGTAATCAAAGTATTTATCAAGAAACATTCCTCTTCTAAATATGAAGAAATGGAAGAAACTAAAGTACAAGAAATATTACATAAACTGGCTGAAATAGCTATGAATTTAATGATGGAAGATAAATATATTTTCAACGAAAATGATATGAAAAAATTCAATCTTAACGATGAAGAAATAAGAAACCTGAAAGCGAGTGGATTACTTGACTGTTGTCCTGGCGTTAAAAAATCTCCATTCGAGAAACCACCACTTGAATTTACGTTCACCCACTTAACGATTCGAGAATTTCTCTGTGCTTTTTTGTTCGTAGAGGAAAAACAAATCCCAGAGAAAAAGAAAACGAGCGATGTGACATACATGTTCATGGCGGGAATGTGTTCAAGAGAAAAAGATGAAAAACTGATGGAAAAGTTGTTAGAAAATATCAAACCAGGGAATGAAAACGATAAGAGAAATAAACTGCTAACTTTATGCTGTCTGTACGAGTACAAAGACGATGGATTTTCTACCAGAGTAATAAATAACCTTAAACACATATACTGTAATAGG